GCATACTGTATTTTAAATATAATTTTGTAAATATTATAATTTACACATAATTTACACAGCAAGAATAGAAATGAAAGCAGTTGAAAGTGAGAGGACATTTCTGTTTTTGCCGTTTCTAATGAATGCTATTTCATGTTACGTATAATGCTGGTCAAAAGTCAAAGAAAGGACACATACTATTTCCACATTTAATCTTCACATATACACTGTGAAGGTCCATCTGAAGAGCTTTTTGATTTGATAAAAAATAGCAAAAAAACATGCAATTTATAAAATAAATTATGTTTTTCTAGACCTCTTCAGTCTTCATTGGACTCAGTGTGCAGCCAGCTACCTTTTCTGTTTATAAAAAAGACAAACAGCAATATAGTTAACTCACAGGAAGGTAGAATGTGTTATTGTCCAGGTAAGATATGGGATGTCCATCAGGCTGAAGAAGTGTCTCATTTGATGCATTATAAACAGCATCTGTGGATGTTAGGTTGTCCTCTACAAAGAACTGCAAGAGATTAATAAAATGTTTTTTTTTTTAAGAAATGCCAAAAAAATTACTGTATATATATAGAGAGAGAGAGAAAGTGTTATCGATAGTTATCGTTTAAGGTCACTGCTTAGTCCTATTGGAAGTTATCCTAACAGAAGTAAAAGGGCAGTTTTTTAAGCATATTTCCTAAATTAAAGGGGTCATATGACGTTGCTAAAAAGAACATTATGTTGTGTATTTGATGTAATGCAATGTGTTTATGTGGTTTAAGGTAGAAAAAACCCACATTATTTTCCACATAATGTACATTATTGTTTTTCCTCTATGCCCCGTCTTTCTAAAATGCATTGATTTTTACAAAGCTCATCGTTCTGAAAAGCAAGGTGTGCTCTGATTGGCCAGCTATCCAGTGCATTGTGATTGGCTGAATACCTCAAGCATGTGACGGAAATGTTAAGCCCCTTACCATACTGTGATGCCGTGTCCCGGCGCGATTAGACAACACCAATAAAACCCATTACAAACGAGGCATTTGTTGCATCCAGTGGGGACAGAAATACTGATTATAATGGCTTATACTGTCTTTTTACGCGTTGCGTTGCGTATCGTGCCACGTAAACATAAAACCATGTCTGCATTTGTGATCGGAGAAACGACAAACAACAAGCGCTACACTACACTGCTCAAAACTCACGTTTGAATCATCAGTGGCAAATTCTTTAAATATAAAAAACATACTTACAGGCTGTGAGTCAGAAGCGCCAGACTGTCCTTGC